ATGAATCTGGACCAATTTCATACTGACACAAGCAATGAAATCACTACCCATTCCTACCAACAATGTGATTTATATCAACAACATGAATGAATAATGGATTTGCATAGAGTTAATAAGTTATAGCCCTGTGACCTCACAGAGCTTGTAGACTTAGGAATATTTTTGTCAAAGTTCCTCTGACAATCTTGGTTTGTCTCAGCTATTGAATTTTACTCATGTACTTTCAGATTTAAAATAATACACTTCCATAATTTAAAATAAATACTGAGAGTCCTAAGATAATATGTGTGCTAAAATCTCAAGCTACATCTCAAAATTTCAAATATTTTTGATATCATGTTTGCTTGCACTGTTCGGGACCTTTTTCGGTGAATTAAAAAGTGATAAATTGCAATGCCCAGAAGGTCCACTAGAGAAATAAGTTCTGTCTGAAAAGAGATGAAAGTGACTAGATACCATAATTTCAAGCCAGTATATGAGGCCAATTCAAAACAAGAAAACTGAAGTTGCAGAATCCCACCAGGAAAGTTATTACTCATTAGGCATTAACAATGTTCACAGTCTACCCACAACAGCAAAATGGGGCAAAGTTTAAAGCAAACTATTAGAAAGGTTACCAAAACAAAGGTTAAACTAGGAAAAGTAAGATTATAAATAAATGCTATGCTTTTCCTTATCTAAAAGAAGCACTCATACAACTGAAAATGCAACTTGATTTTTAAATTATCTTTTCTCAGATCTCTTCAGAGAAAAGGACATGGCAAGGCTGCTCTGGCACATGGAGCTTTGTGATTAGAAGCTGGAGTCTGGACTGCTGGAGCAGCAGGCCTGGCCAGGAGCAATGGGAATCTCTGCTGAGGTGGGTGGGAATGGCTCTTTGTACAGCACTGCCTCTGCCTGAGGCACTCACTGTGGGGACTGCAGGATTCAATTGCTTGGGATGCTGCTCTTAGTTAAAATGTCTTTAACACCCTGGAGGGCTGAAAAAAATGGTGCTCCTTAGGAGACTCATGCCTGAAATGACAGGGATAGAGAGCAAACAGAGAAAATGCAAAAATATCCTCTGAAGCCATGTCAATATCTGATCTGAAAAGCAGTCATTAACTGGTACATTTAGGAACATGACAAGAAATTCTGTGCTGCATGTGCAGAGCTCCCAGAACAGGGCAGGGCTCCCAGCACAGTGATCACAGCACAG